ATATAAATATATATATAAATATAAATATAATATAAAAAAACACAACAGTTATTGCTGTAATGTTAAAAAAATAAACTGTTTATAGATTTGCCTGTGTATATTGTGGTGTGTGAAACAATGACAATGCTTTTTCTGCTTGTTTCTACTTTATTTTTTGTTTTTAAATTGTTCAGTCATATTCAAACTATGCATTTGTTTCTGTATTCAGGACAGATCAGCCATCAATCCACACTCCTTTACTGAAGGGATGAAGCTGGAAGCTGTGGACCCAGCAGCTCCCTTCACCATCAGTCCAGCCACTGTGATGAAGGTATCGTAATGAACCCTAAAGTTATCACCGCCAAAATTTGTGTAAACAGTTGTAGTTTGGACCTGTTACACTAATACTGTGCTATTATATATAGCTCTGTAATAGACAAATGTAGTGCTAATTTGGGGTTATAAACCAGAAATGACCTCTGTTTTTCAGTTAGTATTCTGTCAAACACAACCTTTGCCTGTTATTAATGATGTTGGCTAAAAACAGGCCTTCAGAAGGGTCAAGAGAATTAGTCTCCTCAGTGTTACCACACATGAAGGTCAGACATTTCACACTGACGGATGAGTGTTTTCCATAAACATGGGTGTTTTCCAGATAACTGAGCTCAGGATGAACAGGAAAACTAGTTGCAGAGCTGTGCCCTTCTTCTTAGCTCTGTGTGCTCTGTTCATTTACTTGTTTGTCTGTGTGTGACAGGTGTTTAATGACCATTTTTTTCTGGTGCAAATGGACGATATGAGAGACGAGGCACAGAAAGAGGGAGGCGGACGCTCTTTCCTATGTCACAGAGACGGTCCAGGAATCTTCCCTACACAGTGGAGTCTGAAGAATGGAGTCAAGCTCAGCCCTCCTCTAGGTCCATACATTTAGCCTGCTTTTAATTGTCATATACAGTAAGGAAAGTGAAATAACACAAATGTCTAACAATTTATTAATAAAAGGACCTAACAGAAAGGAGGTCCACCCTTTTCTTTCAGAACAGCTTCTTTTTTTGGAATGCTGTCTTACAAGTCCTGAACTGTCTGTAAGGAACAATTGCATCATTCTTCTCGAGCAGGAAAACTTTGCCAAAAAGATCTGGTGATTGAATATGCCACCAAGCATTTCACTCCATCCTGCTGTCCATGAAACATTGGTTTTGTGGTAATGCGCACACATGAGCGAGCAGTGTCTTTACTGTAGGATGCTCTCTGTCCTGAAAAATGGCTTCATTCGGGGGCAGTTATACTGCCCAGCAGAGCAGTCATTAGACCTAATGGCTGGTGTGGGACGGCTGGCCATGTCATTATGGATCCTTCCCCATTTTAACTAGGGGTGGAACGGTTCGCGGAAAAAAATCGAACCGTACGGTTCTCCACACACGGTTCGGCATGCGCTAGGACCGCGGTTCAACTTAAATCTAACAACTCATCTGTAATACGGTTTGCTATAAATAACATGTAAAACAAACAGGGTTCGGCTAATACATGTTTCTGTTGATGGATGCGCATTCTGGCTTCCCAACACATTACAACAACAGCGATGGAAAAAAAACGTGGACAAACCATTCACTCTTGTTCAATGCGAATGCCGTATGCTGGAATATGAGCATTTATTCCGTCATCACCCGGGTGTTGATAGCGCGCGCACAGGTGAGACCTGAACCGCACACGTTGATAGCCTATTTACTTTAGATACTACAGTACTGTTGCTTGTAGTTAGATAGATTATTCTTATTTTCTTTATTTTTATTTGACAGTATAGTTTTTGCCTAGACATAGCACATACCGAACCATACCGAAACCGTGACTCTAAAACCATGATACAAACCGAACCGTGAGTAAGTTGAACTGTTCCACCCCTAATTTTAACAGCTGAAAACAGACACTCAGGCTTCAGCCAAACATAAACCCATCTGGATGAGAAATCCATTAATGCGATTCATCATTTATTTTGATCTGGTTTCCAGGTGTTTTCTTGACACCAGGTTGTGTTGATATACTGTGGTCTTAGTTTAGGATTTTGACCTCTTTGGACCTTTGTTGCTGTGAGCATTCACATATCAAAGTGTTTATTGTCAGATCTCTTTTACGCCTCGCATGCTGCTAATTGCCAATCAACATATTGATTGGTTCATCATTTCAATTGCCATTGGGGCTCTGTTTGTGATTTACTTCAATGTTAAAATCTTGTTTCATCTAGCGTTTTCAGTTATTTTCTAATCTATATGTATATTAGGGAGTGAGTCATGCAGTTGACCGTTTCTCAGGTGCACTTGTTGACCTGTGTGTGTGTGTGTGTGTGTGTGTGTGTAGGGTTCCAAGGTCAGGACTTTGACTGGGCAGACTATCTAAAGCAGTGTGAAGCTGAAGCAGCCCCTCAGCAATGCTTTCCTCCTGTGAGTTTCTTATTCTACATATTTGGGGCAAAGGCATTACAAAAATACATTAAACACATTACAAATGCATTAAAAATGCTAATTTTACATAATTATATACCTCAATATAACTCTTTTATTGTTAACATGTTTTACATTTTTGAAAACTCATTTTAATAATAAAAAAACCTTATGAAGTACTTTGATATTATTAGTTAATTGAAGAAATTATCATACCATTTGACAGTAAATTGTGACTCTTAATATGTAAATATATTTTTTGTATATGTGTATATATATACATATTGTTTATATACTGTATATATTTTTTGAACATTCTTGTGATGGCAAATCTGAATTTTCAGCATCATTACTCAATCAATCTAATATGCTGATTTGCTGCTCAAAAAACATTTATTATCTATTTGTTTCAGTGCTGCTGTATATTTTTCTGGAATTTAGTTTTTGGATTCTTTGATGAATAGAAATTAGAAATATGTTATAGCATTGAAAATGAAATGTCACTTTCGATCAATTTAATGCATCTTAATAAACGAATAAAAGTAATTATTTCTTTCAAATGATTAGAATTTATTGCAAGACTTTGACTTGCTTTTTAAATTTCCTTGTAGGACCCTTCTGATCAGTGCATTAAAGAGTCCATGATGCTGGAGGCTGTTAACCCACTCTGCCCTGAAAACATTCATGTAGCAACTGTTACCAAGGTCAAAGGTCAACACATGTGGATTCGTTTGGAAGGTGTGATGTCAACACTCCTTTTTTTTTTTTTTTTTTTTTTTTTTTTTTTTTTTTTTTTTTTTTTTTTTTTTTTTTTTTTTTTTTTTTTTTTTTTTTTTTTTTTTTTTTTTTTTTTTTTTTTTTTTTTTTTTTTTTTTTTTTTAGCATGGCAGCTCTGAATGACCAAAAATAATTATGCAGTGTCTCCTTGAACTGGCTTCAGAGGAAACTAACAAAGCAGAGACCCTGATTAAAAATAGCAGCAAGACCACTAATGGACTAATATAAGACTGGGTTTAACCCTCTATAGACATCGCAGAAGGTCAGTAGGCTTATTTATCTCTCCCTCCCGCTCTTTGTTCAGGTCTGAAGCAAGCCATCCCAGAGATCATAGTTCACACAGACTCCATGGATATTTTTCCAGTGAGCTGGTGTGAGACCAATGGCTATCCTCTTCTGCACCCCTGCAAGCCCAAAGGTCAGTTTTACAGCCAAGGTGCTATGCACACAAATTGCTTCTTAAATTGATATTTATATTTGATGTTCCCTAGTAAAAAAAGTATAGAAAAAAATATATATATTTTAAATATATTTAGTTAATTGTAAGTATACTACAAATACATTTATTTATGTACTTAATAAAAATACCCTGCAATTGTACTTTTGGTATACTAAACTGGTATACTTGAAGTTTGCTAAATTGGAACAACTAATTTTGTTCTTAATGCACTTTAAATGTGCAGAAGTAGTGCTGAAGTACAGATATACTGAAGTATATTTGATTGTGCTAAAGTGGAACTATTGCAAGTATACTTCAGGTACACTTTAAATATTTAGCATTTAAAGACCGATATTATTCAATGATCATACAATCCTCATCAATAGTGATATTAAAACACATTTTAAGCTTAATATTAAGAAATGTGCATTGTGCACAGGTATTACTCCAAATAGATCTCAAGCTATATGTTTATATGTATAAAATATATTACTTTTTTTACTAGGGTTGGCTTTTTAAGAGACATAAATTCATATTTTATTTGTTCTTTGCAGTGGAGAAACAGAGAAAGGTTGCAGTTGTTCAGCCAGAGAAACAGTAAGAAAGACACAAAAGTGTTTGAATTGAATTCAAGTACTTTTGATTATGGAAAAACACTAATTTATCTCTTTCATCACAGCCGGGTACCATCCAAAGACTCCTCACCTGATACTACCAAACAACAGATTAACAGCAGTCAGACTGAGATGGGTAAGTGCTAGATACACATCTGAACATTTCTTCACATGCATGGCCTTCCTTGTCAGCCGTTTACACACTAATAAAAGCTCAATGGTCTCTAACATTGTACTATTTTAATCTTGTCTGTGTCACCAACAGGCCAGGCGAATGGGAAGTACTGTTGCCCCAAGATCTATTTTAACCATCGCTGCTTTTCAGGGCCCTACCTCAATAAGGGCCGTATTGCAGAGCTGCCGCAGTGTGTGGGACCTGGGAACTGTGTCCTGGTGCTGAAGGAGGTTAGCCATAACAGACTGCTGATTTGCAGTAGTATTTAAATTTGTTCTTTCTAAATTACAAAATGTAACGAGTGAATGTTATTAATAGTACTTAAAACCTCCTATTCTGCTGTATAAAACTCGAATGGAAATGTGCAAAAATGTATAATGGTGATTTTTACAGGGATCAAACGTGTTCTAAGACATGACACTAAGTGTCTGAACATAATAATAACAGGAACATGAGCAGCAAATCCGCATATTAGAATGATTTCTAAAGGATCATGTGACACTGAAGACTGGCGTAATGGTTGCTGAAAATATAGCTTTGCATCACAGGAATAAATTGCACTCTTAAGATTTATTAAAATAGAAAACTAAATTGAACTAATATTTCACATTACTGATTTTAACGTATTTGCAACCAAATAAATTCAGCCTTGGTAAGCATAAGAGACTTTTTTTCAAAAGCATTACAGAAAAATGTAATACATTTATAGTAGTACATAATAAAAAAAAATAATTTTAACCACTTTATAGCCAGATGTAAAAATCTGAAAAATTTAGTAAAATAATAGCCTAGATGTTTATGGTTGCTGTAATATAGATAGGCAGTCACAATGAATATGTGTCGTTAACTAACAGCATGATTTGTATAAAATCATATCAAAGTCACCTCTGATAACAGATCAATTTCAATTGAAATGTAGAAACATTCATTTTCTGTAAAGCTGCTTTGAAACAATATGTATATCCTTTTATCTGCATTTTGTAATAACTTTAAACATGGCTCAGAAACTGGAGTTGAACTATTCTGTTCTGTTTTCACTGTGTGTTGGTAATGCTGACCTATTGACCTGTGGCCTGTCCAGGTGCTGACACTGCTGATAAATTCTGCCTATAAGCCCAGTCGAGTGCTGAGAGAGCTGCAGCTGGACCAGGAGGGCCGCTGGCAGGGTCATGGAGAGACACTTAAAGCCAAGTGAGTATATGGTGCCCTAAACATTTCTTTTCTGCAGAAGTGAAGAGAAAAAAAAAAAACATGTCTACAGAGGTACCTGTAAAAGGTTGATTAAACAGGTTGTTGGAACAAGTTTTTTTTATCATTGTTTATAATAATTAACATAAATAGTTTGCTTTCAGTTTTCTGACCAGTCTTTGTGCTTTACAGGTACAAAGGGAAGAGTTACAGAGCGACAGTAGCGATTGTTCGCACTGCAGACCAGGTGGCTGATTTCTGTCGGAAAACCTGCATTAAGCTGGAGTGCTGTCCCAACCTGTTCGGCCCACGAATGGTGCTGGAGCGCTGCTCAGAGAACTGCTCTGTGCTCACCAAAACCAAATACAGTGAGCCTCTTTTCTCTATTTTATCAATATCAGTACATATTAGGGGTGTCGAAATGAATCGTTGCATCGCGATGCGGACGTGGACGATTCTGCATCGATGTTTAGAATGGCTCTGTAAAACTAACAGTACCTGTTTTATAGCATATTACTATGGGAAGAAAAAGAGCAGGCGTGTGGGCCGACCTCCCGGTGG